ATGTCAGGTAAACATATTTCCGTTTTCACTTATCACTGTCAGACAAAGCTCTTTAACGCCATCGCTGCTGTTAGTCAAAGTGATTCACTTCACAGATGATTTTCTTTTGGAAATCCGATAAGTGGTCTATCATAACAATGTTGCATGCGTGGTGTGGTCATTGGTTTGATAATGACTTGAGGGAAGTCGGAGACTGCGCTTGTCACAGAGGAGATTCAATTTATGACAGGCTCTCTGTTGAGAGGCAGATAGAGACCAGGCCAAAATCTCAGCCTTATCTTAATAGGATTAAACATTAATTTCCCATTGTTCCCTCAAAGACTGGATTGGTAAATCCAACTCCTATGAATTTTAATTGGAACTGTCAATTCTGAAATCCAAGCCTCGGCACAATGCATTTTATTTACGGCTTAGCCAAGAGAGAAGTATTAAAGACATAATGGATGATTATTCTTAAACTTCTATTTTTAAGTGTTCTCTACTGTGATAAGATATTTGGCTGAATGAAACCGAAAATGTGTGCCAGTGAAGCAAACCCAAGTGTTGGAACTGCATATCATGAGTTAAGGGGAAAAGAAATACTAAAATAAGACAACTTCAACATTTAAAATGTATGTTTATACTCTAGGCATCTATTGTGATGTAGGCTTTGTCTCATATTGCTAAAACTGGATCGTATCATGTTAACATCATACCTGTCAAACGATTCACAGGAAAAGGTTTTAATCCTTCTAGAGATTTATTTCCTGTATGTTTCACTGTTGATGACGGCTCTGTACTTCGTGCAATATATTTTTTTCCTTCTTTTTCTGTCACTTCTAATAATCTTGAAAGACAGGCTGAGAAGCACGCTCTGAGAGGTACCGCAAAATGGCTTTCACAGATCTCTCCGGCATGGAGCAGGAGAGAAAATCAAGTTCCTCAGATGTCTTTAAAACAGGACTTCAATCTGTCTTTGTCATATATCATCAAACGGAGTCATTAGGGTGTCTTCGCAGCAATGAATTAGCCCTGGACAGCTGTCCGATTCATATCTCCTTGAACAATAACAATATATTCTGCACTGTGCTCACAGAGGTGCCCTTACAGTAAATTACTCAGGATCTAAAGAGGAGGTGAACGGGCTGAGGGTGTAACCCTATGAGACTGTACCCTCTGCAGAGTTGAGCTAATGCTCAGGCCAGTAAATCTGTCAGCTGATGGTTTTCCAAGACGCCGTGGACACAGCGGCAGACAGAGGGAGGCCGAGGCTGTGCAGGTCAGAGGTCACGCCCACGAAGAGGGGGGCTTCTGAGACTCGGCACAAACGATGTGATAGATCAGGGAGCGGGGCTGTAAATAGGCGGTACACTGAGGCACTGGGCTGTGGGAAATACACAATGTACATCATCGCTTTCGCAACATCTCTCCATTTCACACAAAGGCAGCCCTGACAGCTCTTTTCTGTGGAACAGACTCGAGTCACTGATCTCACACAAAGATCAGATAGCCTACCGCTCCACAGCAGATACCAACAACAGCTTCCAGCAGGGATATTTATGCTTCACTTTACCTACGCTGATGGGATGGAATCAGCTAGGAGAAACTGCCAAAATCCTTTTTATTTTTAAAGTAGAGATCAGAGACAGATTTTCAAATTAGTGATTTCTAGGCATTGTCAGTCAGGGACAGATGTGATTTTTTATTTTTTATTTTTTTGCTTATAATGTCTGTTGGAGATTTAGCACAGGAATTGTTTGTGCAGTTGACATGAAACAATAAAAAGCATTCTATATAGCACTAAAAAAAGGTTCTATGACTCCAGTGGAGGAGCCCTTTTTGGTGCTTTAGTTCTTTAAAGAAGTATTTACAACTTTTTTTTCCACCACAGAGATCGTATATAATAATAATACTAATGGACGCAACAGAGAATACAATAGCATGTGGCACACATATAAAGAGCCATTTTCAGAACTTCAAAGAATTGTTCAACCCTTTTCCGTCTCTGTTTATCATGTGATTCTCAATGCAGTTGTTGCATTTCGTTAACATGAAAAAACATGAACTTACAAGAAAAAAACTCATAGATTTTTAGTTTGCCTATCAAACTACAAGTGCCTGTGTATGTCTGTCTGTCTGCCCTGTGATGGACTGGCGACCTGTCCAGGGTGTAGCCTGCCTTCCGCCCAATGACAGCTGGGATGGGCTCCAGCACCCCACCGCGACCCAGAAGGATAAGCGGTTTAGATGATGTATGTATGTATGTATGTATCAAACTACAATTTGAACAAGAAAGTATGTGAATAGGGAAATGATCATGTCAGTCACACTTTATTGTAAATGAATCAACAAATCAATACTAAGCACTTACCCCTGAGTAAGCTTGCACAAAACCTCCAACAATGAAGGAAATCACTTTTATACAGTGACAGAAACACATAGCACGTGGAAAGAACTGATTCTATGCTAACACGTTCAGTGAATGGATCACTGGTGAGAAGCTCAGTCCAATACTGCTAAAGAGTTCAATATGTTATTTGTTTTGTTATTAGGTTTATAAATGCAAACAAGCTACCATCAGTGTAACCCTTAATTCAGTAGAACTAAGTTGAACTAAAGTAGCATTAGGAAAATGGTAGCTGTGTCTGAAACTGTGCCCTATTCAATATATACCACACTATTTTGGGGTTCCGCCATTTTGTAGTGGTGACCAAAAACATAAGGTGCATTCCAATATGTAGTTCCCTGCAAAGTGTACTGTACATGCGTTTTAAGGGTGATTCCAAACCACAGGCAGTGAAAAAGGTCTGTTGGAAGGGATCTTCAAACTGCACAGGGAGTAGTGAACAACGGTTTATCACTTCACAAGAAGCTGTGGGAAAGTTTAGCCTTCAGTCATTGCAGGTCTCTTGAAGATGCATGTTTGATTGTAATGCTGTACGATGTTCCAAATAAAGGTTTTTTCAACTGCATTTCTCTTAACCGACCGCTACTACTCAAGTTGTAGGGAACATAACAGTACTGCTTAGGGACCCTGTCGAATGTAATGCAGCTAGTGTATTGAAGATCCAGTGTGCTCCAACAATCCCACAATGTTCCACAATACGCAGCATACAACCAACATACCCTAAGCAGTTAGGTTTGGTTTGAAGATTCACGTGCAACTTCTCTGAGGATTACTGAGCCCAGCTACAGTGTCAGTGTCTACACAGACCTCTGTACAGACCAGTTACAGATGTAACAAAGCTCTTCTCATGTGTGCAGTCAGACTCAGTAGTTATAGTGGACTGATGGCAGGATGTTTATAGTGTTTATGTGACAGAATCTGCTGTCATGCAGTAATGAGCATGTATGATGTAGCCTAGTATTAGAAATGGTTTACTACCATCACAAATTCTGTTCCCTATAATAATCTTCTATATAGTGATCCAGATTTTCAAATGTAGGGTACAGTGATTAGGGGAACATTTCGGACATGGCAAGTGATTCTCTCTTTACTCAGCACAACATGGACGTCAGAGAAAAGAAAGCCAAACTGAGGTTAGGTATCAACATAACCAGATGGCTACTTTACTAATTTCGCTTTTAGGTTGTTGTCCTCTTCATCTAATGAATGAATTCTGTCTTATAAGTTATCCATTCTCACCTTTGTTATGATGATTTGAAGACAATTACAGTTATATGGCTGAAATAAAATGTTGTCCTTCCTGAAAGTAATGTTAATGATCTGTCTTCCTTCTGCAAAAAAAACAACAACAAAGACAAACAAACAAACAAACAAAAAAACAATTAAAAACAGCCCACCCCAAAAAAACGACCCCAGAGCAGCTGTAGTTTTTAAAGGTCAGACGGGTTTTTTTTTCCCCTAGTGTTTAAACTGGAAAATCTCACTTTAGAGACTACTGCAGCATCGCTGTAAATGCGAGCATGTATACAACACTACAGCACATGAAATGATTCTTAAATTTTCCCATTTTGCTTATACAATAGACAACCGTTGCTTTTACTAAAGAACCCTTCAATAACCCCCTCTTTAAAGAGTGTCTGTGAAATTATTAACTTCGTGCCCTAACTAATTGTGCACTAAAAATGTAAATCACAAACTGGCTCAGGGGAGCCCCCTGGCGGCCATGTGGCCCTAAGCAGCTGCTTATGTTGCATATTAGGTAGAGCCAGCACTGTATGCTGTGCAATGTAATGTAACACTCAGTTCCGTCACTTCTTTCTAGTTAAATGCAGCGACACTATGCTGGATATGACACCAGCCAAGGCTGTAGCTTCCCATGCACTGTAGCATGCCATAGGTGGGAACATAACAGGAAAATACTAATTAGGCAGTATTTTATTGTGTAAATTCCACTTGAAAACAGCGGCAGGTGAAAACAGCCTAACGGAGTGGAGAAGATCACAGGCCTGCTAGATTGGCACTTTCGTTGGAGAGGTAAGTGAAAATAGCTTCTCTTCTCATCTGAGGTTTCATTCAAGGTTAGTCAAGCGAGAAGGAGCTCAGAGAGGCCAGTGTTCATTTTTACTTGCCTTTTTTTCCATCTCAAGGAGAAATGTCTCTTATTTTTTATCTCACTGTCCACATAGTATAGAATTTTCAAGCAATGTGCTGTTTAATTTAATAAGAAAGATATTCTGAGAAAGACCTTATTGCCTTAGGAGTTTCAGCATTTGTTATTGCTTGGTGTTTCTTTTTCTATATTTCTTTACTTTTTTTATCTTGACTTAATAGGTCAGTGTCATAGATCATAGGTCAGTTGATCGTTTTATTTGTATTGGTGCATTTTAACCCAGAGATTCATGTAATCATATTAAGTCCACATAACCAGTTGTCAATCACTTGTTAAACACTTGGGTTGAGGTGAACTAAAATACATATTCATATTGCATGCTGTTTCTGAATAGTTATCATGTATAGTACTTTCAGATCAGTGTGCCACAGTGGTCAGTACACGCTTGTGTTTGTGTTCCTCTTTGCTGCTGATGGCCAAAGATTACATAACAGCTCAGTGTCACTGACCCACATGCACTCCTGAAGAGGACTACATGAAAATCCACCCTGAAGATCAACCTAATGTAAGTACAAATGTGTCCTACCATGCTGGACAGAAGATGTTCTCTTCAGCAGTCTTTATACTGTAGAACTGATAGAGGGCTTGCAATATCAGCCTGACTATCCTGCTCTGTGTGTATGAATCTCTGAGCCTGCGCCCTCTCATCAGTAGCACCAGCAAAGCAGGTAAAGGCAATGTGAGCTCTAGCAGAAGGCCTATTGAATATTAATTGGCTGTGCGGCAGATGGTCCTCAATGGGGAGCGAGGGCTGCCCTGTGTCTGTCAGACCTCCAGGACCCATAAATACATGTAAAACAAACAACCTAATTGCATGTGTAACGCTACCGAGCAAGAAGGGTTATACAACACAGGAGGGCACTGAGTGCAGGCCGCATGGATTATTACACTGACACTGCATTAACACTGACCTCCACTCTCACTTCTACAGTGCGGTTTCACACTTAGAACTAAGAACCAATCTGGTATCCAAAAGACAGGATTTGGCCTGATGAGGAGTGGAAAACAGAGGTCGCTTTCTGAAACGCTTGGACAAAGAGACAGCATTCACAATATAGAACAAAGGTTAAATGTAGACGTGCTCCTCTCAGAGGGCAACCTGTCAGCCCCTCTACACATCCATGCCTATATAATTTCTCTCCACAGAGAGAGGCTGTATTCTGAATGTACTGCAATGTACACTCTCAGTGGAGATGGTTGTCTGAGCTCTGAGTTTTTTGGAACATTCAGTTTCCTTCATAGACACAGTTGTCTCCTGTACTCGTCTCAGACAGAAATTGAGAAAGTTCAGGTACTTTTCCAGAAAAAGTTTCCTATGTGAACATATTTCACGTGTTTACAAGTAAGTATGTGACATTATGTGAATTATGTGATTACACATTATACCTGGAAATTGCACATACTATTGTGGCAATACGTTAGTTTTATGGCAAGTCCATTTCAATGAAACAGCATAAAAGTATACATGTGAAAATGTATTAATTATGATGTAAGACAATTATATATAGTGCTGTGTCTGAGATTATTTTATTTCCAGTCAAAACAGACATTAAATACAAGTTATTAATTTTACTGGAATAAGAATCATGAAACATATTTAACTGAACACACAGAAGCCTCCAACCCTAAGGCCCAATCCCATTTCTTCTTTTTACCCCTACCCCTTGTTTTCGAGTGTCACCCTAACACCTTGGAACTGAGCTACATGGGGTAGTGGTTGAAATCTTGCCCTACAAAATGGGACAACCCTCAAATAAAAAAAACATTGCTTCATTAACAGGCTACTAGTGGTGCTCTGTAGGCGACCCAGCCCGACTTCAGTGATAGCAGAGATGGGAAAGGTTCAGTAACCTCGCTGCTGGGCTTTAGTTACCTTTAGGGCATCATATGCTTTCAAAGAGGGGGTGTAAGACAATTATTTATTATCACCCACCACTAATTCTTTGGTGATATGAAGCTGAAGTAGCTATTCACCAAATTCTTGTTCGAATTATTTCCCGCTCCACCTTAAACATTCTGGTGCTTCAGGCGTCAATACTGGGGGACTAAGGTGGAACCGAAACATTAGCATGCTATTAGCGATTTTTTATGCTTGTTGTGAAGAAAACGTGCATAATACATTGAAATTACCGTATACTAAGATAATACAATGGTTATTGTAATTTTTTAACAGAGAAAATTCTCACATTTGTGGGTTTCTTTGGTCGCTCGCGCAGCCATCTTGCCGGTTTTTCTTTATTTCTCACAATACTCCTTTTGGAGTGAGCCTCTGAAAAACCTCCGTTTGGAGGGCCATGTAGCCTTAACATTTCCCCCTACCCCTCCATCTCAACAAAAATTGGGACACCCTAACCCTAGACGTGAACGTGCAAAACAGAGGGCTAAGGGCTAAGTGGTAGGGGCAAGGGGTGAAATGGGTTGGGCCTAAGTATAACATTAAATCTATGAGTATTTAATTTGTCCACTCCTTATTTTTGTGCACTCTACTGTCACTTGAACTCTTCCATCCTTCTGGTCTTAAAACCAGTGAGTTACAGCTGTGACCTCCCAGCAAAGCTGTTCCCAAAGAGTCACTGACAGTATGTTCCTCTCAAACATTAACATTCATACAAACTCATCTTAACTACCTTATATGGGCATCTAAAATGAAAAGGAGATAATTCTGAAGAGATTGTATATGAGATCATAAAATTAGTGGAAAGTAAGTGGAAAAATAGGTTCCAACACTGGAAAAAATCATTAAAAGCTGTACAGAAACTGGAAATCCTAAATAATAGACCACCGAAGCAATCACTGCCAGATAAACAGTACTTAAAGATTTCATCTTTGAGAGAGAGGAGAAAATCTAACTCTACTCTTGCTTCAGATCTGAAAAATCCACACATTTCTGTCCATCCTTCCACTGTAAGAAGACAACTCAATACGTTGTGTAGTTGTCAAGAAGCTGTTACTAAGAAAAAGAAAAAGACAAAAAGAAGAAAATGGTACTAAAAGACCAAAACTGGACTAAATTTGAAACTGAGATTATTTGGATCATGAGAAGCTTCTAACTTCTAAGACTGAACCTATGCCTGCAGATTTCATTAAAAAAAATGAAAACACGTCTCCTGTGAAGAATGGAATTGTTATCAAGGCAAAGCGTGGACAACTAAATACTGATTTAATACTAATTTAATATTATAGTCAGCTGTTATCTGTGTAATTCTCTGTTAAATATATGTGTTTGCTTTTTTGCTAATACTGAAAAAAAAAAAAAAACTTGTGCTTAATGGCTGTTTTGACTAGGAATTAAACAAAAGACACTTTTGCACAGTATGTACAAAAACAAAAGACCTATGAAAAAGATGTGAATTACATCACCTGTAAAAAGTCCACTTGTGGAAAAAGCTGTGAAAATACCATGTGTAATGCCAAAAGATATATGAATTTAAAATGAAAAATGTCAAATGTGTGTGTTTTTCTGCCAGGGTGGTGTAAACAGTATCAGATATAGGCAAAACAAAGCATGCTGATTAAGTCCAGCAAAGGTCCCTTCAAGCCAAGGCTCGCTGAATTTTCATCTGTCAAATTTTCTCTGGTGACAAGTTTAAGCATGTGTGTTTTCCCCAGTATTCACAGAACAGCAAAACTAAACAAGTATTAAGGGTGGAGAATTAGAGAACAAACCCAGCCCCCAAGACCAAAACCTATTTTCTCCTCAGCCACCTGAGAGAAAACACCCTTAGCCTATTAACACCTCTGCAGGACGGCTGTCTCAGGCTGTGTGTGTGTGTGTGCATGCGTGCCTGTTTGTGTGTGTGTGTATACATCGGTCTGTGTGTGGTCAGTACCTCAAGGGCTAATATCTGTAGGCATATCGTGACATTACATAGCTGTACCTGGAGATGATAATTGCTCAACACAGGTTGTCTATATTCCTACAGTGATTTTGAATGGATTTTCAGAATTTGTGCTTTGCATAAATGTCACATTGCATTTGGTCATCTGAGTGCCTAAATGCGTGATCTTACGTGGACCATATCCGCAATGACTTTGTAAAACAAATGTGGTGCTTTTGGAGGCGGCAGTCTTGGTGGTACGTGGTTTCTGACAGAACAGGCTGTAGTTTACTTTCACCTTGAGTGAACAGACATTGCCAGGGCCCAGATGGCCACAGACAGGGTGTGAAGGAGACAAGGAGAGAGCAGAAAGAACACAGAGGAGACAGAGAGAGAGTGAGAGGGAGAGAGATACAGACCGGGGGGGGGGCAATAACAAGCATTACACATCCCACTCTCCTACTAACTGTCCTCATACGCCTCATCACTCACAGGCCCATTGTTGATGTTACTTTTAATGTATTATTCTAATAAACAGATGGGCCGTCGGTGCACATGATCTTTCAAATAAATGGAATACTGATAGGCCTGTATTTACCCAAGTGTGTCTCTCCTTCTTCAAACATCCTGGATGTGGGACACAGTCCTACGACAAATAACGGAAACATAAAGGGAGTTGCTATTGGCGCTGTAATTTGTTTGATTAAGATAAGAAAAAGTCTGGACGACTCTGTTTAACAGAATGTCATAGTCATCTGAGGGTCTGTTTTACAAGTTGAATTTAAACAAGGCCCTACTGTACATGGTACCAAGGTTTCATGTATTTTATAGTGACTAAAGGGACTGATTTTCTCCACTGTTTGATCACCTCCATTAGCTGTCTGCTCCAAATATGCTTGTTTTAACATCCCTGGGACTGCAGACAGGCTAATTCATGGAACACCGGACAGGATGGCTGGAGACTCGTCTCTATTGTTTTGCTCTTCCCAGAGCTTGCAGTTATGACTGGAGGCAAACAAACAAATATGTTGATTAGGTTCCTCCAGGAAGGAAGTGTTCTCAGGGACCCAGCCTGAGCAACACAGCATCAGCATCATGGCTACGTGGAACAGCTTTCTGCTTAAGAGAGTCTTCTGTCTGAGTCAACATTAGATCAATATCAGCAGCAGATCCCACAGCCTCTAATCTCAACACAAAAGGGACCACCATTGTAGATGACGTCACTGAGCTGACATACAATGCTGTGGTGGTGTCGGAGAAATGGATGAGATTATCCTCGGCTCTGTGATCTGCTGTTTAGGGGTGAAGTTTGGACTTAATTGGTTGGGGGAAGGGTCAGAGCTGAGTGGAGAGAAGGCCATGCCAAAAAGTGAAAGAAAGGTCTTTATCAAGTCTTTATCTTTATTTTATTGAGCTTAGGTACCAGCACCCCCAGCACCATTACCAAACAGTAGGGTTCCTAACAACCAGCGATGCAATTGCAATTTATATATATATATATATATATATATATATATATATATATATATATATATATCCCAAAATTACTTCGGGGGGAAAAGTCTGGTTCCACTGACTTACATTAAAAGTATGTTTTTATATATTATATATATATGTTATTATATATATATATATATATATATATATATATATATATATATATATATATATATATATGTTATTATATATATATATATATATATATATATATATATATATATATATATATATATACTTTATCACTTTATTAGGAACATCAATAGAACACCTTTGGGATGTGGTAGAACGGGATTGTTAGGAAATCGAAACAGATCAGACGTTTGTAGATTAAAAAACAAGGTGGTAGTTTACTTAGAGGTTTAGGAGAATCACAATGGGGGTAGTCGTAACAGTCCAGAGAGCTTAGTAACCATAACCAAAACGACATCAGGGGAGTGAAACCAGATACCAGACCAAGTTCAAAAACCAAAAGTTCTAAATAATCACAGCAAACAAAACAACAAGGGCGAACAAGAAAAAGGGAAGGTCAAAAAAACACAAAAAGGCTTAACAAAGACAGAAAGCTCAGTATGCAACAAGGTGAGTTGGCAATACTTCACAATGTACTAGTCTAAAGCCCAGGCTTAAATACTGACTAGCTAATCGCTAGATAATAAACAGGTGTGTGTAATCAGAATTCTGGTGAGGAGGAACAAAAGAATGAACATTCGTTGGTGGATGGTGAAGTGATGGGAGTCATGATCTTCCAATGGCTCATGGGAGTTGGAGTCCTCTAAATAGTCCATGGACTCAACTGATTCCACAGGAGAAAGAGAACAGACAAAGGAGGCGTCCTCAGTGGGAGGCGAGACAAGGAGATTCACAACATAGAAGTTCACCTGAAAAATCTGCATGAATTGCATAATGCAATCATGTCAACATGGATTTGAATCTCAAAAGATTTTCCAACATCTTGTGGAATCCATGCCACAAAGAATTAAGGACTTCCAGCCCTCCCAGGACCCCCTGTATTTCACACTTGGGTGTAAGAAACTGTTCCCCAATGGCAATTTATGCTACTGTAGTTGACAACTGTTTGCCCAGCCTGTGTCCTCCACTCTAGCACTCCCAAGAAATACACACACACATCTTCTAAGCCGCTTCTCCTTCTGGGTTGCGGAGGGAGTTGGAGCCTATCCCAGCAGTCATTGGGCGGAAGGCAGGATACACCCTGGACAGGTCACCAGTCCATCGCAGTCCCAAGAAATAAAGTAGCCTAATTAGTATCACTATGTAACCGTTGTAGGCTAGTATTTGTTAGCATGCACAGCATAGTCTCAAAATGTCTATTCACCAGTTTTTAAACATAGATTTCCAACAGATTTCTTAAGGTGGAAGTGGAGCTTATCAAAACGAGAGTTGAAGTAAATAATCAGATTCTAGAATTTAACTAGCCAATCAAATTAAGCTCAGGAGACAATATTCAACTAGTTGAAACCTGCAAGCAAAGCGCACATAACCACTGGGACTACTGGAGCTAAACTGCAATGTGTAAAGTTTAATGAAACTTACTGCAGCCAGGCTGAAACCATGGTGCATTCCTCAGTTTTGGATAAGTTAATGCAGCAGGCTAAGCTGTTAGTAAAAATATCAACACAAGTAACAAAAATATGGATCTGCTGCATGATTTCCTTCAGAGAAACAGCAAGTGAAAATACATGTCAAAGCAACTTCCAGCATTTAAATTTACTTCATCATGTTGTCTCAGAATAAAATACAGCAATGAGCTGAATAGCTCAAACAGCCAGCCCGACACGCAATGTTTTTTTTTTCAAAGAAGTTGCATGTTTGTGTGTATTTCGCCCAACAGTAATGCAGATATGGATCTGCAGTAGCCCCAGTGTAAGCAGTGATGGTAACAAATGTTAAGTGAGGAAATGTATAATCTGAGATGACAAGGGCTCTACGGAGTTAATGATTTGTTGCGTATTTCCTTTCAGGCTGTATAGCACGTTTTCACAGGCAGACAGTAGTCTGAGAGGCGAGAGTGGTGAAGTGGAGGTCCCACCGCTGCTCTGGGGGGAGAGAGATTGATGCTGGTGTCAGTGATGAATCTCCCATTATGTGTGAAACTGTGGTGTCCTTGAACTCCGGGGTTTGCCATATGCTGTAAAGGACAAAGGATGTGAAGAGAGACGAGTACCTTAATCAGTGCTGTTTCCTTGGTGTAAAGAAGGTCAGTGGGGTTTTCTGTCTGGAACAAAAAAAAATTTCTGTGGTTCCAGTGGTTATAAAAATCCGTTTTTCTGGTAAATCAAATGTCTGTTATTGATCAGAATCAGTGTATTGGCACTGGGATAGTGTTTTCATATGAATGATGTACATGTTATATTATTAACCGTTCATGTTTAGCATCATGGTCATCACACTTGGTATACAGCAACTCCTCCTCTATTAAGATGCAGAGAAATGTGCTAATCCCATACAGCAAAGCTTAGAGTTTACTGCAGCTTTTTTCCATATGAGGCAGTGAGCTAGGCTCAGAGAATATTCAGTACTGATTGATTTGCCTGGGTGAAATTTTCACTAATGCAGCCCTCTCTGGTTTGCACATTCAATGCCTCACACTTCCACTACAGACGAATGAGAAATCCTAGTCAAAACACAATCCCAGAATCACACTCAGGAGTCTTCATCTAGCCTGGAATTTAAACAAACAGAAGTGTGAAGTAATACGTCTCTGCTTGGGAACTGCATAGAGGTTCTGGCTTTTTGCAATAAGAGTGAAACAGTCTGTGTTCTTGTGTTGCCTTCTGTCTAGGCGCTCAGCCGAGAGACAGTATGTGATGATAGAAATCAGCAAACTTCAGGGTCACTCGTGTCTTTTTTAGCTGTGTATACTGAGTGTAATTCGATTACTTTTGTTCCCCTTTATCATCTAATGAATAATAGCAGCTTCAACAAGCTAATGGGCTAGGGCCAGTTAACACTGTGTTTAAGAAATTCACAAGCTGCAGGAGCTTTGAAGGATGATAGATTGTCTGAATTAAATAAAGGGATTTTCTTTTTTTTCTTTTCCCAGAGCCTTGAGTGCAATTTCCACTCATAGAAAGGAAATTGCACTCAGGCTTCCACACATTGCCAAGTCAAGTCCCGAATGCTTTGCAAATGCACAGCGTATTCACAGTGCAAAGGTTGAAGCTGTTTTTGAACACCAAGCCAAAGCCTAGGGGACCAGTACTGGCTGCATTAATGAGGGACACAGGGCACATGTTTGGTCATACAGACTCACTGACCATGCAAGTTTCTCCTCTACTCTTGCTGATAAGTGCTGTTTGCCTGGAGTGGACATCATAATAATTACATTTAAAAGTATGTGTAAACCATTTGGCCAGAGATAGAAATGTACCTTGCTATAGACCTCCTCTGATCAAAAATGAAATCTATTGTTTTATATTGTCAGTATATCTCAAAATACAAGTAAATAGTAGATCATATTTTCAAGATATTACTTTTTTTTGTATGGAGACATTTCTGTTGTCTCGGTCAAAAAACATAGTCTTGTGACCACCCTACATTTGTGGCCATTAAGTCAATGGGTAATAAGTGAAAAAACACAATGCCTCCAACTCTTGAGTTATTACTAAAATAATTTAAAACATACGGAGAAGATGGGACTTCTAACGACCATGCAAGGTCTGGTAGACCACCAGAACTGTCCCCTTTAGATAAACAGTAGCTTTCATCTTTGAGAGAGGGAGGAGAAAATCAAGCTCCGCTCTTGCTTCAGATCTGAAAAAATCCACAGGTGTTTCTGTCCATCCTTCCACTGTGAGAAGACAACTCAGCGTTATGAGTCTGAAAGGATGTGTAGCTGCCAAGAAGCTGTTACTAAGAAAATAAGTAGACAAAAAAGAAAATTTGCAAATCAAACAAAGAAGCTGCTGGTGTTCTGAGAACAATGGACTGACCACCACATAGTCCAGACCTTAACATCACTGAATGTATTTAGGATTATTTTTATATATTGTGAGAAGTAGAAAATACCAACTTCTAAGACTGAACTTTGGAGGTGTGGAAAAATATCCCTGCAGATTTTTTTTGAAAAACAGAAAGCAAGTCTCCTGAAAAGAAGCTGTATTAAAGGCAAAGGAGGGACACACTGAATACTGCACAAAACTATATTTTCTTTAGTTGTTGGGGCTTTTCTGTTAACTTGTGCTTAATGGCTGTTTTGACTGTAACTTAAATAAATTAAGGGTGCTCCGTGACAGTATCATACCTTTAAACAACAACATGTGCCAGCCTAAAAGTACTCCTGAATCAGAATAAATTTTTATTTATATACTATGTACCATGGGTGTTTGTAATGTACCTACAATGGACACAGTAAGTGCTTTGATTTTTCTCTTAAAAAACTAATTATTTCTTCAGGCCATTCAACCCTTGTGCAAACTTTAATAATGGACACTGTTAATGATCAAACACTATTATTTCCAAAAATAAATATTATTGATCTTTCCTTCTTTTTATAGTTTCATATTTTTCCCTTTAAGGCCATCTCCTCTTAGAGCTTCTAATAATGACAAGTTGTAAAATGAACCATAAAAACTTTGGATCTTTCTTTATCATATAATGTATAGCAGATCAACTGAACTTTGTCAGGCTTTTAAACAGTGTTATATACGCTGTGAGGGGGACTGATGACAGTAATAGCCAAACTAATAGAATAGACATTGCTAATTAAATAGAACTGTAAAATCCCCTGACGCTTGACTCACAAACAACAAAGAGAGTCTCTGAGGCCTTGTTCCAAAAGCCATGGAGGCACCAAACATAAAACTGACAAGCAAACTAATTATCTCCAAAATTACAACATCTTAATGTCCATGCTCGTAACACAGCTATGCTCATTAGCCATGGAAGGAGGCCATTAAATTTGTTCTGAACACAGACAGCTGCATGGGGCTGTAATCAAGCTTGGCATATATGGTCCTGTCTCAGCTGCCTCCAGCAACAGGGAAGGTGAGGTAACTCGGCTGGAGGAAAACAGAAGCCCTTTGGGCTAATTTACGCGAACATGAGCATGCTTGTGTACTTTTACGGTGTGCTAATGAAGTAGGAGAGTATGGAATATAAATTTTCTCTGTTTCTTTTTGTGAACGAGTGACGTGTTACATGGGCTACATTTAGTCAGAGGTTAGGTTATTTTCAAATGTTTCTTTTAAGCTTAAAGCTGATAGCTAGGTTTTGGAAAGAACTTTCTCGCTCTCTGCAGTGGTAAGTTGAAGGCAGGCCTCGCTGTCTGTGTTATCTGATCCTGGTTGCAGTGAGGGGCAGGACAGACAGCATGTGGCTCTGGGTGTGCTATGACTGTGCTGTGCTTTGGCCTGAACCCGGGCAGAGATAGACGCTAAAGAACAGAGCCACTGTATCCATCCACTTTCTTTCGTTTCCCTCCCTCGAGTCTGACTTAATCCTGCCTTTTACTCTCTGCTCTTTTGTGACATCACATAGAAACCGAGATCCAGAGCTAATCTTCCATCCGATAACAGTGTTGCTTTAATCGGCCTGGCCCGTAATGAAAGTCACACGGGCTTACCTTTCTTAAGATTGTACAAGAAAAGTAACATCCATTCCCTATCAGAGGGTTAGGGATACAAGTCCCTTTACACCTTCAATACGACATATCTGAGCTGTAAATCCACCGTGGGTGTCATACTGGTGTCTGTAGCAATAAGTAAATAGCATGATAAAGAATAAAACTAGCTGCATCAATGATTAGGCTGGAAAATCCAGCACAGCTCCTGTTTCATTATTATATGGGGACAGGATTAGTGTAATGCCAAGGTATTTGCTGTTACATAGGCTACGGCTCTAACAGATATTATTTGAAGGATGAAACAGTGCATTATTTCTCTTCTTTGCTGTTCAAATTTGATGGATTATTATATGCTATTCTGCAATGGGAAAAAATAATTTGAGATACATTCCAGACATAATACTCCCACTGTGATATGGTGCAGCTTCTATATGTAGATGTTCTAAAGGCGCTGCGGTCAAGTGAGGTCAGCTCACACGGTCCCTCCTGCTGTTAGAACAAGGCAGGGGTCATCTCTGGCAAGGTGTCCCCTTCCTCTCTTTCTTCCCAGAAAGGCAGCGTGCGGGAAGGGCTACATTCTATACACCCAGCCACCGCTGACCTAGTTAACTGACTACAGCCCTCAAGCTGAAATGTAGCAAGTACTGTCACAGATACTGTATGTTCTCCTCAGGCTAAGTGTTCAGCCTGACCTTGTTTCAGCTACACACAACATATGTATCATAGTTCTAATATATAATAGATTTTTTACAAAATTAGAAGGATTTTTGTGGAAGACTGAAGTATTTTTGTTGTAGAAAAATAAAGCTTGAAGTATGCACAAGTGTGAGAGATACCATATTTATGCCAAACACATCCTTATTTTGATATCTTTATTCAGCCGCATTGAAAGCCTTGAAAGAGATTTATTTATGTATTGAGCGTTCATTCTTTTCAGACATTTATTTGAGCCTAGAATGCATCAACTTATAGGAATGTGCTGAATTACAGTACAATGCAGCCAGAACTGATAAAAAAAATCTCCTGAAAAAACTGTGATGCCTAAATACACTCCTGAGTTCTTATAGTGCTGTCAGTGTCCACCAGCTCCACGTCAAAAGCTGTTTTGAAATGCTTGAAACACAAAATGACGCTATTACAGTGGCAGAAAACCAGGGTAAAAAGCTTAGGCGGTGGAAAAAAAGTTAAATCTATTGAGATGAGGGAAGAAATTATTCAATTCTTCGTTTTAAAAGGGCAAGCCAACCAACTATTTACCTATGCCAGAGGAGGGAGAGAGGAGAGGCCCTTTGATGCAGTAATGAATAGATGTGGTGTGAGCTCAAGGCCATTTCAGTGCAAATAAGGTCTGCATATCATTCTTATTCTTCCTCTAGACCATTAATCTCATCTGCAAACCCCTCAGCAGAAAACCTGGGCCAGCTAAAGAGTGCAGAATAGAGGAACGAGAAGGAGTGGGAGGGAGGGTGGGGGTGTGATGGGGGGAACACAATGTAGAGCTAATTATCACCATTGAATTTTAACACAGAATGTTCTCTCAGAGGGGGAAAACTAAATCGGCTATGCTGGAGCAGACACTGTCTGTTTAAGCCACTTTTCTGAAATATATCTGTGATTTTACTTATTTGTAGTCAGTTACAGCTGTTTAAAAGAGAAGCTACCACTCAGATTTAGTTCTGAATCTCCATGCTTTGTCTGTGAATTGCAGCTTAGGCCTCATCTTGGCCATTAAACCTAAATGACAGTGAAGGTGAATCTGATTTTGATTGATGTGATTTTGGTTATTATATCTGTTTCACATTTGTCTAAAGAGGAAAATCTCTTAGTTGAAACTGTTTTGAGCAGACAGATGCTCCATGTCAGTGGCTCGATGAGCTGTGCCACTAGATCGCCCTCTATTGGCCAGCAGTGGTACTTAATTTGACTTTGGATTATCCCCTGGTGAAGGTCTAAAAATAAAAGGGGAGAAAATGAGAGGAATTAAAGTTGATATTCATCAACCGCTGTGAGGCTGTAAAACAGCTCCTCTCTGTGGGAGCTTTGAAGTCTCTGTTTCGTCACAATTTAATTAGTTCGAGTTTGATCACCTCATTCACACTAATGTGTTTAGAGCAGCTTGACTTGACTTTGGAGCCTTGAAAACAAACTGCCGCAACATGCTGCACTTACTACAGAGTTAAACCTTAATTGACCAGCAAGTGAAGGCTTCCATTTTACAGTCTTATAAAGTATGAATAAGTATGTTAGTTTGTATTGTTTTCCATGTAACGTGAAAATAATCCTTGGGATTTAATACGGCTGATCATTTTAAAGGGTTAAGAAAACAACTCTAAAGAACGTATCTGTATTCGTCCTGTGTTTCTTTGAGGTCAGCTCCTAAATGACCCTATCTGGACCTGGGTCAGGGCCCTGTTCTCCAGCACCAGCGCTCAGTGAGTCCACACTGGCTCTGCCATCACTGTCAGGGCAGGCCAGTCCCTACTGCAGCTCCCTGCCTCCAGACCCAAGCAAGGAAAAGGACACCTCTCACCCCGGAGCTGCTCATGTGTGGCCAGCAGCGACATCAGCTAAGGCATCTGCACCTACCCTGGAGACCCCACTGCTGGCCCCTGTATGGGGAAATTGATGGCTGTGCATGTGTGAAAGCAGGAGACATTGACCTCCCACTGCCACTGGCCTGATGCTCCCCCCTTTGTTCAGATAACGTGACGGACACCCTCGCTCTCCCCCAACTCTGCAAGGTTACTGCACCTCCACAGTGCAACTGAGTTCAGAGGACATGCATCAGAAATACTCCAGAAAGATCTGTAACATTACAGATTTTTATTAGCTGTAATCAAGGCCTGAAATAAATGCTATGAGAAACGGAACAGGCTAGACAAAAGCTACATCAGCAACACAGAGGAACATGGTTGGTTCTTTAGTGGGACACAATATGGAAATGTTGATGTCGTGATAACCTGAACATTTATAAGAACACTGTAAAGTTACTGTTCCTTAAACCATTTTCAAAGCCCTCTTAAATCAGAAGGTCTTCAGGGAAATGAGAATAGAATACAAAAAATGAATATATTGAACATTACAAAATATTTGGTAACACTTATTACCCCTACTTATAGCCCCCTGTAGGTGCTTTGTGGTTGTTTAGCTTTTCATTTAACGTACATTAAGCTAAATATTCATTAAATGGAAAGTCCATCATATTTATAAAAATGTCCCTATAATTTAATGCTTGAGCTGTAAATGGTAAAATAGTGGCAAATCTGAGGGAAAAAAAGTTTTCTTAGGGGACTATTGTACCTTACAATTCCCTACATGTTTGACTACCATTAACGGATTAAAAAATACTTTTTAGGCCAAAATCTTTTCTCAAAACTATTGTAAAACACCATCTTCAGGCAACATATTTGCAACCATTTCATGTAATAACTTTCTATGAGGGAGCTTTTAGAGGCAATAAAGTCTTCAGATGTCTGGTTTCTATCACCATCACTGTGAACAATTCTGACTGAGTAAGTTTCTCTAGAACAGAGCATTTCACATCAGACCACTCTGAATTAGTTTACTTCTATCTTCATGATTTAATTATGAATTATTTTTAAATCAGTGGAAATCACTTTCACCATTCCTTAACCATAACCCTGGTCTTAATTGTAAACCTAATCCTAATCTCAACTCAAAATTTTAACTTAACCCTAATCCTGGTTCTAACTCTAATTCTGTTGAGAATCAACAGTTTCACCAGATACTTTGTTAATAATTTGAAGACTAATGATTATTGTCTACATTTGTAATCTGTAGATTATTTTTGGCATCTATCCAAATAAAATAGCATCAAATAATCTATTCATACTTAAAATTTAAGAATGTAATGACAACAAATAACAATATATTATATACAAATGTACTTAATTAGCCCAGAAAAGCCCAGTTTAATACAACTTTTATGGAAATGTGCTTTGCTTTTATTTTCCATAGTCTAAAGCCAAAAGTTTTTTTATGTCCCTGATTACTTTTCCCTCTTTTTTGTTTTTCAGGTTAACTGTGCCTGTCTGCAGATTTGACGTCCACCTTGAGGGCAGATGTGCCTGGCTGACCTGGCTGTACCTCATAGGTGGGCTGTTTTCTGGAAGCGCTGTGGTGGACCTAGGAGAGCAGGTGGCTGGAGGTAGAGCTGAGAATGAGGCAAGTGCGCAGAGAGCAGCTCAGGTCTCTGCAATTAACCGTACATAATCACACACCTCCGCTGCTGCTAATCACAGTCCACATGCGCTTTTTAGCAGAAGGTCATCTGCCCGGCCTTTGTCCGGCACTAGATGTTGCAAGCGTGAGGACACTTCCATCCGGCACTTAATTCAGTGGAAATTATGGATAAGGAAATATGCAGCTACAGGAATTCCTCTAATATTCTAACAATCCCTAAATAAATACATTTGTCATGCAGAGAACATCGCATGGAGTGGTTGATTTAAGGCAAAATGTTGGCTTTCATATATGAGGAATATATTGTAATATACAGCAACATGAATGCATAACAAGTACTGCAACACATTTTCAGCAATGCACTCAAAATATATTCAGTCCCAGGTTTTAATGTATGGCTTTTGGCTTGAGGGCCTGCATGAGTGCTTGTGGTTGCTCGCTGAATGACTCCATCGGTGTGATATATGGATTGGAAATGGTAATCCCACATTATGTATGAGCAAGTGAAAGCTTAACTCTGGATTAATGCTTGTAATTTATTGTGTTTTCTTTGTGCTACCCAAGTGCACTTTAGTTCCTGCTCACCGGTGGGAGTGTGTGTGCATGTGTGAAAGAATTCGTGATTTAAATTGCTGTCTGGCTGTTTCTATTGCGCTTTACTGTAAGGAGAGAAAGTCCTCCGGTGACATCGCCTACAGCAGTCCCACAATTACCCATTTGTATGCGGCCATGCATGAGGCCAGAGCACTTGTAACAAGCTGCATCTGAGTGTCTTCCGCCATAGAGCAGCAAGGGCACGGCTCACATTTGCTTATTGAGTTATAGGGCACTGGTGCAAGTGCATAATGGAATTTTCATTGACTTGATTTATTCTAGGTATGATGTGTCATGAAGAAAGGGGTCATGAGACAAAGTCACTAACAAGCAACAAATCTGGTTTGTTCCCAAGGCTCGAGCTATATGATGAAGAGCCTGCCCGGAGACCAGCGCAGAAGAGCATGGGAATCACCGCAGTCAGCAAATGCACATAAATCAGGAGTATATCAAAAACAATTTGATTATTTTTTCTTTGGTAAGTGTTCAATTTACTGCATCTCTTTTTATAGTAGTAATTTACAGTATTTAAGATTCATTTTGCCCTTGACAACTTTATGGATAATGTTTAAGATCAGCAAACAGAAATGATTAGTGGTTAAAACCACTTAGTCCCATGATACACAAATAATCAAACGTTTGTTTATATTAAAAGTTCTCAATAACGCATGTGAATGACATTTTACATTACTGCAAACAGCATGTACTTTAAACCATCAATAGAACATAGAATTATTTGATCTAAAGCACTGCACCAATATTGGCATTTGAGAGTGAAATTCTGATTTTAGAAGGAAATTCTGGGAGGGAACAAAAGTAGAATAGAAATACATATGATTTATAATTTTAATTGACAAATTTCAAGTTAAGTCTACTGCTCATTCTTAAGGAAAGTACAGGGTGTCCCAAAAAAATTGACATCATTTTATAGTCTAATAACATAGCCAACTGTCCCTCAAATGATCTCAAATTTTAACAAAATGTGTAAAAACTAACCAAGTTTAATCGGGTTGAAGAATAGCATTCACTAGAAATAAAAAGGCATTTTGTGTGTTAGAATATGCTTGAACACAGTCAAACAAGAGTGTGCAGCATGAAGCTTTGTGAAATCGGTTATAAAATCAACATCCCTCTGAATTTCTTGTATAATATAATAAATCTTGTATTTTTCAACATAAATTTTTTTGGGACACCCTGTAGTACATAAATTCTAAATTTCAACACCAAAAGTTACCTTCTAAGTAATATTTGCTAGGAATGTAAATTTTACAATTTAATTGCTTTTATTTTCATTTATGTGAGTGTAATATCAGAGTATTCAAATATAACTAAATATGCTTAAAACATTATATCACTGCACACAGCATGTAATTTGCAGTTTTTTTCAATTACTAACAAGCATTTCCAAGTTCTCTTTTGCAAAACTCCTTACACAGTCAGCACAGCAACACTCTATTTGGACCAAACCATGAACATTCTTTTACTTGCTTCAATATTAACCCTTTAAAATCCCAGGCTTATTATGTACTAATGCTTGCTAACAAATGAGTTAGAGAAGATATTTGGTGGGATATGGAGGAAAACATGTGGCCAAATGATGCAGAGCATATAGGCTAAGCATTTACTGTACTGTGATTTTTTTTCTTTGCTGGATTATGTAAAGTACTGGATTTTATTTTGTTTCTGTTATGTCCTTTTGTGCCTATATAGTGAACAGATATCAATCTGTTTTGTAATGTTTTATTCTATACTGCATTTTGGGGAAAAATACCTAGAAATTGTTTGTGTGATCAAAAAGTAAAAAACTAATTACTAATATGAAACTATGAAACTAACAAATGATTACTTACTTCACAGATTATCATAAAATAGTGCTTCTGTCTCAATGCCAACAGTTCTTAATGTTTCTTCAGTGAAGAACTGACTGTAAAAGTATTATTTTTATTTTGTGTTCTTTTTTAATGTATTTTGGTCACAGCAGCTCATTTTGAGTGCCAAATTGTGTGTTTCTGCTGAGAGGTTTGTGAAGAGTTTTGAAAACCTGAACTTGCTACTAAAAAAATGCATGTTATAAATTGTTTAAAAACTGTAAATCATCAATTGGTAATAAAGAGGCCAGTTTCCCAGATTCAGAAGCCTAAACATAGACCAAAAAGAATTTCCAGTGGTGATTCACACTGGTGCTGCAGTTTAGTGCAAGACTAGGCTTATTTCCGGTCCAAAATGTTGCAGTATTAAGTACTGCATGAGGAGTTTTTGTAGTGGAATATGTGTTTGCCGAGTTGCTTTTATTTTACAAGCAGAATGAAATTCTGGGAAGGAGCACAAAAATATGATATAAACAAGAGATCTGTAGAGGCTGATGAGTGAGAATGCCCATGTGCAGTGTAGTGTGTGGCTTGCATTTACTGAGTCAGAAAGGCCTGTGTGTTTGTTCATCACTGGGCACTGCAGAGCACGTCTCTCCAGTGCATTGTTGAACAGTCTGATCATCCTGCACCTGCTCAGGAAACTCGACGTTTATGAAACACGTACTTCTGCCTTTGTATTTAATTGAAACGCAGTGACATCTGGACGCAATTTGAGAAGGCAGACATGCTATTCAATATATCCGACCAGACTTAATTTATGACATACAAAGGCTCTCAAACATTGCATTCAATAGCTATGGGTGCCGCTTGTGGGTCATCCATCAAAAGTGAGTTTGGAAATGTCAGGAGATGTCTGTGCCTAAAACATGACACTTTCGGCATGCTTCCTGTCAAAGACACTCTTTTATTGTCTCTGCTCCACGTTTTTATTGTTTGTCTTAGAGTGCAGCTTGGAGCACAGCTGATCTTCCTGCTTTATATTTACAGTAAGACTGATAACTACAATGAATCATGCCCGATATGTAATGTAGCCTCAAAGTCGAGAGCAGCTGGGTAGTGTGCTCTCTCTGACATCAACTGAAATAAATTACCACTGTTGTCACACAGAAGTAGCATTTGCGGCAAACTAAGAGTCAGTAAGCACTTCACTATAATATGCCGACACCTCTAAAACTGCAAAAATGTGTGCCTGTCTCCAGCTTCCTGCTCTTTCACTGTCAGTGTCTCTGGTGATGAGTGAGGGGTGATTCAGATATGGTGATGATGTATGGCATCTCTGTGTCATTTTCCTGTTGTGCTGTGTGATGAAGTGGGCCAAATTGCGGTGCCTGGCTTCCCTCTAAATTCTCAGCTGTTGAATGAAGATCCAAAGTAAACTTTGTACTTCTTGAGAGACACACTGGCACTTTGTCTTCAGTTTGATATCTCATACACTCATAATCCACTCAAGAAAACTCTTTCTTCATCTTTGCAAATTGATGCAAATTTTGACATTATTTGAGATCATTTCGGCAGGGTAGCAGGACGATTATCAAAAAAAGTGGGTCACTTATATTAATAGTAATTTCTCATTAAATCTCCCACACCAGTGACATTGCATTGTCATTACAAGCTAAAACAGAGTGCAGAAGTGAAAACGCAAGACTGAGCTATGCTAAAGAATGCCTGTGCGCAGCAGCACTTAGTGAAGCAGGTAGCCTGGCAGATTCACTACTTTTTATTATCTATTTACACTACCACATATGTAATTCCTGTTAATAATATTGTTTGCTTTTGTCTGTTTTAATATTGACATCTGTCTATTTTTTTAATTTTAATTTTTCTGCATCATTTGAGCACAGAAACTGTCCTTTTCATTGTGGGAAAATTACATAATGAATTAAGAAATGCTCCAAAATTGATGGGAATAAAATTCTCTTCACATTAACTTTCACTGAAAGTAAAGAGCATTTTGCCCTGGGCTGTAAAGTTAACCTTTTTTTGGACAGTGGTGATGTGGTAACTCGGTATGAGTGTAATCAACAACATTTATGTTGTGCTAGTATTTATATGAGGGCTAAAGCCTTGAATGTTAACCCCCCTCCTACACACACACATATTTGTCCGGCCAAATTTTTTACCCCTGAGCTCACTCACATTCTCAAAAATAAATAAATAACATCATTTAAACCTGGTCTGTGGACTCTATGATCTATGTCAGTTGCCCTCCGTGTGTTATTGTAATCAGTGTTTAAATGAAGACATTTCCATTTAATTAAAAACCTCTTGATTGGGTGGCGGCTCACATCGTCCATGTTTGAGAATGAGGGCAGTTTTGTCTGACTGAAAGTGTCATTTCCCATGGAAAAAAAAGCTGATCTGAGAATTCAATCTTCTCTTAAGACCATCAGCCCACATTCTATTTAACACGGCAGAATGGCATTATGTGCTAAAATGAGCTTTTGAGCCATTCAGCTTTATTAGCACTAACAGTTTTCCATCCTCAATTACAGTCCCAGCATCCACTAAATGTGGTTTTCCAGCTCTCACCATGGTGTTGGACCAGGATTTCCTCTTAAAATAGGTTATGGGGTGATCATTAAAGTTCATTTTATATCCATATGAGGCTAAATGGTTGAGCTTTATGGTGATTTTGGAGGAGGATTCTGACATTGCTCTGTGATTTAGATCTTCTCCATGACCCCTTTCTTATAACTTCCTCAAACTCCTCACTATAAATCATCTAAAGTTCCTCATGAACAGTTATGAAAATAACTTTAAAAGAAAGTTATTGTTAAATATTAAATATGGCACTATTGTGCCACTATGTTGTACTATAGTGATCCAAAACACATTTGACATTGGGCTTTTTTTGTGCATATAAATAATACACTTACAAATAATACATATAAATGTAGACAAGGCCAAAGCAAACAGTTGACAAATATGGCACTGCCACATTATTCACGGCGGGTATTAGTAGTAACTCGGGAGTGTATAAATTCAGCTCTGTGACTGGGGCTGCGTTTGCACAGCTTGGCTTAACTCCTTGTACAAAGTGAGTGAGCCTGCTGAGTTATGCTTTTAACATTGTTGGGGGAAAAAAAAGAACGCCTGGCGCAAAATAGACCCTCTCAAACAGGCCATAATACCGCTCCTGTTAACAGAGGAATTGATGTGAAGCATGTATCATTTGGATGACATAATGAGGTCATAAACAAGTCAGAAATCGTAGAATGAGCAATATTACATTGTAAACTTTTATACTTTTCGAAACAGGTTCACTTTCAATAATCTGTATGCTTTTTCCAGAATGTCAAATTAGCACAAGACCTTCGCCCCTCCTCCCCCCGCCACCACCCCCACCTCAGTGTGTACAGTGAGTGTGGCTCAGTGGCTATAATAACTTTCTCTGCCCGTTCACCTTTGTGTTTCGGACTACTTGACACCCAGCGTGATCTCAATCTCAGCCGACATGAAAGCACTCTTTTCAGCTGGACGGCCTGTGGGCAGACAGGAAAATGACCCAATCTTTATTCAGTGGCAGAGATTAAGTAGCTGCATCGTCTAATGTCTCCCCTCACTCTCGGCTCAAAGGAGCCTGTTGCTACCCACCCGAGTGGAGCTGGAACTCAGGAGCTGATCCATTCATCTCAACAGGTTAGAGAACGTGCAATGAAATAATAAAATGAGGAAGGCCATTAGCCAGCTCAGGAGAAGAAAGATTCACAGCACATTAGAGAACCATGTATAACCAAAACTAATGTCCCGCTCACCATTCTGCTCTGTAAATGCTCATCATCTGAGAAATGAATGTATCAAGTTAACACCATTGCTAATGCTGTTGAAATGCATGAAGTGGTAATGAAATGTGCAGCCATTTCCTCTCATGATGAGCATTTGGAGAAACAGTTATCCAGAGGATGATTGCTTTATTATCTCCTGACATATTTATTTATTTATTTATTTAATCTCTTTCTTTATATATTTTTACATTTTATATACACACAGTTTATATAGTTTTAACACATTGCAAAATATTAATATTGAAATAAACAAAATTAACAAAAAAGGATAATAAAACGTACAGATGTGTATGAATAGTCAGAATAAGAAAATATACAGTACTGTGCAGAAGCCAGAGACCATTCATAGATAAATAGATAAAAATAAGAAAAATTGCCCTAAAACACCAAACCTGGACATCCGAGACTGAACTTTGGAGGTGAGGAAAAATATCCCTGCAGATTTCTTTGAAAAAATGAAAGCTTTAATAAAACTGTGGACAAACTAAACGGGTGAAATTTGAATACGTTCAGTTGTTGAGGCTTCAGTGTCATTTTCTATTAAATATATGTTTTCTGCTTCTTTTTCTGCGTGTTGAAAACGTATACTTTATGGCTGTTTTGACTGGAAACTAAATAAATTTATGTTTCTCAGTAACAGCTTCTTAAGAGCTACATATCCTTTCAGATCCAGCTTTGACTTTTCTTCTCTCAGTGGAATGATGGATAGAAACAACTGTGGATTTCAGATCTGAAGCAAAAGTGGAGCTTGATTTTCTCTTGTCTCTCAAAGATGAAGTCTTTACTTACTAGTACTGTTTATCTGAACTGTTATTTCACTTTTTTCCTATGACTCTTTCTTTTATTATGCAAGTGGATGAAATATATATACAAATATGTAATTTCTTCAAAAATATCTTCTTTAGACATTTTTGACATTTTTCTTTAGAAATTTATAAGACAGTTAAAAAGTGTTTGTGTGGCTGCTTGTGTGTATGTTAGTGTCTGTCTGAAGGGGAACATAATGTCAGTGACTCTTTGGGAACAGTTTCTGTCGTGAGGACACAGCTGTAACTCTCTGGTCTTAAGACTGGAACGATGGAAGTGTTAAAGCAGCAGTAGAGTGCACAAAAGAAAAGAGTGGACAAATTCAATACTGATTCATTTAATATTACACTTAGTGTAGGCTTCTGTGTAATTTCCTGTTAAATATGTTTCCTGTTTTTTTTTCTGACACTGAAAAATGAATCCTGTTTAATGTCTGTATTTCCTGGTACTTAAATAAACAAATGGACAGTCTCTGACTTTCGCACAGTGTTCTATGACAAACATGCGCACTAAAATCTGGATTTTGGTGTTTACTATGTGGTTTGTGTTTGTGTATGTGCAAATGTTTGTCTTATGAGTTTTTGTCTTATGAGTGTTTTGAGGTGAATAAAGTGTTCTGGTAAGATTTGATCTCAACTCTGTGGAAAGTTGTATGTTTTTCTGCATGTTCTGTTCAAAAAATAAAACCAATGAATTCAAGTTATTTTTCTTTGGTACTTGGACATTGAAATGGCGAGGCAGTCAGGGATGACCTCAGTCCACTCAGGACCCCCAGCTAGAGAATATGATTAGATATCTGACCCTGAACATGGTAATGTGTGATCTATGTAAAATCTATGTTAAGATGTTGCTTGCAGCATTTATCGTCTTTCCATTATGCAATCAATTAGCACTTATAGTTTCATTATTATAACAACCATGGTTTATTTTAGGGAATTATCTGTAAATGTTGTAACTATTTGTCCAAAATTGTATGTGCTGAAAGTTATAATTGGTTAAAAAAGTGAAATAGAAATGGAGGTTGGGCCACCAATAGATGTAGGTTTCAATTGAGTTTGTTTGTTTGTTTGCTTGCTTGCTTGCTTGCTTTCCAATACAGTATGATTCCTGCAGAGTTAAGAGAGGGAACCTACCTGAGGCTGGGTTAATACAAGAAGAGAAAGTTCATTATTGGTACCTTCACCTTGACTGTGGAAATTCATCCTCTTAGTAATAATATGGGCAATTTGTTTAATTCTTTGTAGACCGAGGAGCAGCATTAAAGTTGAATTTAAAGAATTTATTTAAATTAAAAAGTATTTGAATTCCTAGATAATAAATGCATTTTTAAACCACAGCATTGCATTTGAATTCATTTAGAGGCAGAATCTTGAATTTTGAGCAGTTTATGGAGTAGCCAGACAACTTACTAAAGCTGTTAATGAGATCATGTGTTTATGGGCAGCTGGATGATTTGTTAGAAACAGCTGGTTTGTTAGAAACAGAAACATTTTGTCAAACACCTTTTCAGCATCTGAACATGACAGATCTGGTTTGAGTTGGGAGAGCAACAGTGTTGGAGAGATAAATTAAGTTGACAAATCTTCACGTTTTTTGAGAAAGGTTTTTCATTATGAGATTATAGCATTTTCTTATTGTATATCTGCATTTATTAATGATTAAGGATGTTATCTAGAACAGAGGCGCTTTTCAGCTTGAAAATAAGTGACGAAGATACGTTCATGTGATGATGTAAAAGTGAGTTGTTTAATTTCAGAAATCATTTTGAGAAACAAAGGTTTGGTATTGAGCTCAGTTAGGAGTCCATCTGGTGCTGATATTCTGTTATTTGGAGGTGTAATGAGGTGTAATGCTTTTTTGTACTCATTTTTAAGTACTAATTATTCAAAGTTTTTCACTTGAGCTATGCTAAGTTGCAGCAGGGTGATGTTCCTCACAAATGAACTGTATTCTTCTGCTGAAGTGCTATAATCCAGGCTGCAGAGATTAGAATGAAATGGCTGAGATTCCTGAATGTGTTCATCTTGACAGATGAGAATTCAGTTTTCTGTCGTTGCTGATGATCTTATGTAATTTTATATTAATTTATTAAGTTGTGATGTTTGGTGTTTTTTTCTAATGAGCACAAAATGGTTTTTCATCTCAATACTTCTATAGTTGTTTCCCACAGTGTACATGCTGACCTCTAGAAAAGAAATCCATTCTTGATGAAAACTAAGGAATTTGTTGTCTGGGTGGTGAGATATTATATCGCTAACTGGGGAGGTTGCGTGTGTGAATTTATGAGGAATGTAGTAGTAATGAGGACTATCAACCAAAATGTCAAAAATGTAGAAGGCAAAAAAAACCCTAGTTCAGGGTGGTACTAGTCTGAGCAATAGTATAGCACTAGTATTTGTATTAATTGCCAGTATCAGTGATGTAGAAATAAAAATGATGTTTCTACCTAAAAAATTTGATTCCACATGAATTCTGAAATATCTTACATAAAAGATCAAAGAGCCACAATGTCGAAACAATTTTATCATGCTGTAATTTCAAACATATTACTAAGCTCAAGGACATAAAAACATTTTTATCTCAATGAGAGGGTAATTTTGCTTAACAGAACCTTGCATGTATGCGTGTGTATGCATGTGTGTGTGTGTTTTGGGACAGGGGGCTGTGAGACAGCACTCATTCTAGAATCTGGGAAAGAGAAGAGCGAGCTTTAAAGACTCTGCGGTAGGACTAAAGATTTTACGGCATTTTTTATTCTCTTGTAACTCTACATTTTCCTGCCACAGTAAATACACAAGCTGATATTTCAGGCCTTTAAAACTAGCAGTGTACATTAGCCTATCAGGACTTGGAGTCAAGTTAAGGACAAACAGTAAATATAACTACTTTTTAAAGTTTTTTTCTTCATATGCATTTTTTCTCAGGTTGTACAGGGGGAGCTTAGGCATTGACTAATTTGATAAATGATACAAAGCATACTTCGATTACCCCCTTTCACCAAGTATTATTAGTGTATAGAATAAAAAGACTGGAACAAATGTTAGAGGCATAAAATCCTAAAACAGAAACTTTGAAATGGAATTTTATTAGTCCATTAAAACATATATATTGCACAGAATGCTCACTGCAGATCATTTTAAAAGGTCCTGTGGAAAACTTCATGACTTGAACATTCATATGTCCCAATTACTAAACATTTAAGACCTCAGTTTTCTATACAATAAGAGAGGCAATGATTCATTTGATTAAAACAAAGGGCATCAGATCAAGCAGATTTTATTTGTCAGTAGGAAGTATACGTTCCTTTTTTATATAGCTTTTAATTCTTCTGGTTTGTTTACCACATCAATATACAACCAAAAACATCTAAACCGTGCAAAGCAAGCTCCTTTTCAAAGCCTTGTTCTCCTTCCAGCAGTTCTGCTAATAAGCTTGGGAACCAGCTAAATGCTAGCACACTGAATCTAGACCTTGCAGAGAAAGCAGTCTGCTCTATTGTGACCTAAATTAAGAAGGTAAAATCCAGTAATATTCCCATGTGCTCTTAGCCATTAAATATCTAGGAAAGCCCTGGCTGTGTGTGTGTGTGTGGATAAAAGCATTAGGACGTGGCTGTGGCTCACAGGCAGCTGAGGCAGTGCTGGGCCCTCCACAGCACCGTCTTCAAATTAGCATTACGTGACTGTGGCTCATATCAGGGAGAATAATTCATAGGGCCATAAATAAGTAATTGTGTTGAGTTAGAACGTTTCAAGTTTGATATACAACATTCTGAAATATTTGGACACAAGCTAGCGGCTGATCGATGTTTGCATGGGCGCTGTTGGCAAACAGATGTCAGCAGGGCCGGCTGGCGAGAGGGTTGTCAGTCAGATTTGCAGGGCTGTGTGAAGGTGAAGCTCTGGTGCTCAAGGGACAGCAGGCTGAGTGCAGCCTGCCTGTCACTGCCTGCCTCCAATACAGCCTGCAGAAAAAGAGCTCAGAGGAAACGACAGCTTTCAAAAAAGCCACCAAACCCACAATCCCACGGCTCTGCTGCTGTTTCACTCGGCTTTGATTCTATGTCTTCATCCCTCTTCTTTCTTTGATTCCTCTCCTATGGCTAAACCCTCTCTACTACTTTGAGATACAAATACACATACATACACATACACACACAGGGGGGTAACTGCCCAGAGTGCAGGAATGGCGATGGTGCTAGAGCCTGTAACATGGGGAGGCAGTGGTGACTGAGCCCTTATTGTCTTTACTTTAGCCCTAATATTATTTATGCAGTTTTTCACCCATTACTCATGGCTAGCTACAATAACTTACTAATCGTGGTTAAGGCATGACAATAGTGAGTAAGCAAACTGCATTGTATTTTTACTCTTTCATGGTCATTTTCATATTATTATCACAACTGTTGTTGTTCTTGCTGTTGTTTTGTTTAGAGGCCCATAAGATACCGCACATATACATATCACACAAACACACACACACACACAGCCACAACACTGTCCCTCCTTTCATCTCCCAAAACCAAATATTTCCAGTCTAGCGCTGACTTTCCATTCACATATCATTTACCAAATTATACAAATAAACAACAATTTTCCATGGTATTAATCTTATTAGGTTTGGAGTGATTTCACAAATGGGGTGCCATTCGTGTCCAACTGACTATTTACAAAAATATGCAAATTTGATCTAACTGGGGGAGGACTAACATTGAGAGGCTAAAGCCTACATGATTGGTATGCAAGACTTAATGAAAAAACATAATCATTAATGCACGTTTTACTTTTTCTGACAGCCATTCTGCTACCCTACAAAAAAGGTCTCGCATGCATTCAGAAAAGTGGAGAGGCACATGGCCCTTCTGCCCCCCTAAATTCATACCAATGTATGTACATAAAGTAAAAGTGTAATACATTTTAAACATAGCTAAAGTGTCCTTCACAACCACCCATGTGCATGTTTCAGATAAATAACTTAAAACATATATAAAAAAAAAATTAAGCACTTAGAAAAGCATTTGGCCGTCTCAGAACACTACAGCTACACTTTACCTTGAAGGAAAATGGAAAATATGTAAAAAATCATGTCATTTTTGCATTCAACTGTGAATCCGTTTAATAACTCTAGTGTAAAACATCATTTTACATGAGTCATCCATTTTAGAAAAAATGAAAAATGTATATTTTAGCAGTGTCCACTTCAACCTCATTACCTGAACACATTCACCCATGTTGTAGGAATATTTTATAGAGTTTATAAAACATTTTTATATAAAAAGCCACACTTTTAACAGGAAGCTCATTTCTTTTCCTGAAAATCATGAGAAGAAGGAAAGTAAGTTCTCTCAGTCTTTTTCCTTATTTTCAATGATATTGTGTTGTTGACTAACTGAACTTTGAAAGTATAACCCTGTTACCTAAATTGCAGACTGAAATGTATGCTTAAAAACTCAGCCCTGTTGCCCATTTAAGCCACTATCTGCAAAGAAACCTTGTAAAAAATGGGATTTTGATCTTGAAATTGATTAAATGATTAAATGCATGTTTTCTTAGATGTTATTTTTAATGTTGAAAAAAAAAATAGATACATTTTTAAGAGTCACAAAGGCTAAATAGCACCCCAATTGTGTG